ATTTTGAAGGAACCAAATTAATCTCCAAAACTGAACACTGGGACAGTCCTGGAGTCTGGGGAAGGCTCTGATGAGGGCTCTGTGTGGGAGGCAGAGAGGGGGCCAGAGCTATAGGCCAGTTATCTGCTGCCTTCAGAGTCAGACATCAGTGAGGCAGAAGAAAAGCTGGAGCCTGTTCCCAGTGTGCCCATGTGCAGAATTGCCAGACGAAGGGAACAGCTAAAGAACAGGGGTTGACTTGGGAGTAAAGGGTGAATGGCCCCTCCCAGAGGAAATAAAAGAGGAGCAAAAGGGGAGTGGAATTTGCAGGAGATAATTAGTTTGCTTAATTGGCTCGTGACTCTCCGAGACTCCTTGCCAAGTTTTGCAGGTATCAGCCTGGCAGTTCTCTACACCAGAGAAGGTCTGTGACTGTAAATCCTCCCTTGAAAGACTTTGCTGGATATGAATGAGCAGAATTCACAGCAAATTAATAAAAGGGTTTTTTGTCAGGACCAGGAGTTTGCTTCATGCTCTTGGGAAGCCTCGGTCAGAACAAAACCAGGACACTATAAAACACTATTCTAGTCCTATGTTGGGCAAAATACAGTTGTGAGGCTTTAAACTAGTCCCTCTGACAGGAGGATGTGGCAAACCGCTTGTGAAAACTGCAGGAGACAGATGTTGGGAATAAAGAAAAAATGATTTGAAAGCATGATTTTTAAGTATCTTTGTGATATGCTATTATACTTTATAGTTTCTATAACTAAGAAATATATAAACATTTTAACATATTGCTATTACGGGTATCTGTAATTTATGGTGCACAAATAACTTGGTTTGAGAAAAGCTGAAGAAAACAATTCCCCCCCAAAAACCATATAAGAAATTAAAAGGAAAAGTGTAGTCAAAACATTGCCTATTTTTTATATGCTTTGGCGCCTGCCATGTAGTCTCTCCTTTTATTTTTCACCTGCTTTTCAGCTAAGCCTTGACTGTATCCCAAGCCATCCCTGCAGCTGCGTGGATCAGAGGAAACCATTAGGCTCAGCGAAAGGAGTGCAGAAAGAATAAGCAACGAGGACGCTTACCTCTTGTCGCTGGATGGACACACTAGGACCAAAGAATGAAAGCTAGAGAAAAAAATAAAAACAAAAATAAAAACTAAAAAAGGGGAGGAGAGGAAAAATGGAAAGAAAAAAGAGAGAGAAAGATTTTAAAGCACACCGAGTAAGAAACGAGCAAGGAGGCTAGAATAAGGTCTGTGCAAAGGTGTGGAATATGCTGGGATGGGACACTTTCCAAATTTAATCTGCCCTCTAACAGGTGTCATGTCTGCTGGCAGGAACACGAGGTATAAGAAAGACAGAGAATGCAGGAGAGCTCAGATTCCCAATTACTTTAGCTTTGTCCCTATCCATTCCCAGCCCACAATTCCCCTGGGCTCCTTGGTAGGAGAGAGATTTAACAGGAAAACAGAATGGCAGAGTTGGAAGGGACTGTGAAGGCCTTCTAGTCTAATGCACCCACACCCACTCAAGCAAGAGACCATATACGTACATTTGGCAAGGGATTTGGGGAGTCTGATAATCCTCTAATTTCTTGCAAAAATGATGGTCTAATAGTGCATCACACCATTTTATCTGCACATACAAAACCTGAAATGCTGCAGTTTCATTCACTTCCAGTAAGAAAAATCATCATGTTATGATTACGGGGATCAGGTATTTGCAGTATACTTCAATACTTATGGTTTTAAACGATGTTATCTATTTTTATGTGACTTATTTTTGGTGAAGAAAGGACACAATTTCAGACTCCTTCTATCCAATTGTACCTTTTCTAATCAAATTTATTTGTTGTTAAGTTAGTAACATGGGCGTAAAGTGAATCTGGCTTCCCCACTGACCCCTTGTCAGAAGGTCGCAAAGGGTGATCACGTGACCCTTGGACAATGCAACCGTCATAAATACATGCCAAATTCTGATCATGTGACCATGGGGATGCTGAAAAACGGTCATAAGTCACTTTTTTCAGTGTTATTGTAACTTTGGATGGCCAGTAAATGAACTCTTTTTTCATCTCATCATCATTCAAGCTTTTCAGTGTTTTTTAAGCATACCTTTTCTTCCAATTCCTTTATTTGTCTTTTTTGAGCTTCAATTCTTTCTTCTAGCTCCTTAATTCTCTGTGAAAATTAGAATTATGCATGAATACTACATTTTTAGACTTTTGACTGTTTGGTAGGCTGTGTTTTCGTGGAGAAGGGAATATATTATGAGCCATGATATGCTCACAGTTAATACAGTAAGTCAAGTAACAACTTTCCTTTGTGCAGATACAATTGTTAACGTCATAAAATGAGGCCCCTGCTTAATTATCCTCCTCAAGGCTGGTTTACAGAAGTCTGGTTGCAATCCCCCCCCCCCCCCCCCGACAATTAAAGCTGTGGAAGTGACTGTGCACAATGGAGTGATGTCCCTGAGGACATCTGGTATCTTTACGACTGCTTGTTGCTACTGTAGTCACTTCCTTAAATGAGCTTTTAAAATCAAATTTAAATCAATTTTAATGTACGCGTTTTTACGTTTTAAACTGCTGTTCTGTTTAGCTTTTTCTGTTTTGTAAGCCACCCAGAGTTGCAGTATTGGGGAGATGGGCAACATATACATTTAATAAATAAGTAAATTTAAGATCAAATTGCAGGTTCCAATCTGGATCAGTTACTGGGACCAGAGGTTTCGTTTTCTGAGCTTTCGGACTCATGATTGAGTTCATCCCCAGGGAACTTTTCCCTGTCAGAGTGTGTCCTTTGGGATATTCCATTTATACAATGCCTCTTCTTGGAGCCTTTTTAGTTATTGATTGGGGTGGTGATGGCTGGCTGTTAAGTCTTTGGCTGCTGTTTCCTTCTGCTGCCAATCCCTCAGTTCCTAAGTATTTGATAAGCTGGTGGTAAATCCACACTCCTGTTGACCTATGAGGGGCTTCAACCACTTCCCCGGCTGTTTTTGTGCCTGCTCGCCCACAATCTTAGTAGCTGCAAAATTGAAGGTATGTCCTTGTTTGTTGCAATGTGAAGTTACCAATGAGTTTGGATCTCCTTGTCTGACCGCTGGCTTGTGTTCTTGTAATTTGATGGTTAGCTTCCTCTTGTGAAAGCTCAGAAAACTAAACCTCAGGTCCCAGTGATCAACCCGGATCCTGAAATATTACCCAGGAACACGTATATTCACCTTCATTCATGAAAATTATTAAAACACAAGTGAGAGTCATTGTTCTTCCTGCAGGAGGCATTCTTAGTGGCACAATATCCTATTTCACCATACCTGTTGTGCATGTTGAATATGCTCCATCCTTTCTCGGAGAATCTGGGAGTCCCTTTCTCGGAGTTCACTCATAACCTGCCGCTTCCATTGTTCCACAGCATTCTTCAACTTCTCCCTCTCTTCCTCTGACAGTATTTCTGACATTTTGGCTCCTGCTTCCTGCTGTAGAGCATCGTAGAGCATGGCTTCCAATTCCAAAATGTGCTAAATAAATGAAAAATCAAGCTACTTTATTCCGATTAAGTTTGGGTGATGATGGCAGTTTGATATAATTGGTGACTGTGTGCTCCAGTTCTCCTTGTCTTTCATTGTAAACAAGATGGGCTGTTTCAGCCAGAATATTATTGTCTCAATAAACATGGCAGCTGATGTCTTCTCTTGCCTCCACCTTTAATGTTGTACTAAATTTATTCTTACAGAGCTCATCAATTTAAAGCTCAATCACAACCAATAGAGCCTTTTTAGATGACTCAGTCAATCTATATTTCAAGATCTTAAAAAAGGAATCACTTTTAAGTCATTGCTCAAATCACCCAACTTGCTGTCCCTTTTCCAAACATAAATGTAGAAGACTGAAGAGAAATATATTGCTTATTGATGGCACCACTAGATTATGCCCAGAAATTCATTCCCAACTACACATAGGATTATGAAGCTAAAGACTTATGTGACTTCTAAATCTCACAATATTTCTATTCTCTCTCACATGATCTCATTAGATTTGGCACATTTAACATTTTAATGGTTTGATGACCACAACACTGTGCATATAATATGACTATGTCTGCTGATCAAAAATATTGCTGACATGTTGTAGAGGTAGATCATTTATGGCCCGGCAGAACATGGATTATGCCACAGCAGTTGCCATTTGAACTTAATTTTTTACCATACTGTGCAACCATCCTGCCCAATGCCCTTTGCAAAATGATGAAATATTACTGAACAAGCATTACAGTATATTTTCTGTATTTAAAAAATGCAGTTAATGCTGTTGAAGTAGTCATCATATCCCTTTTAACCATTTCTCTTTTTAAAACGTTCTTTTTTTTTTCTGCTAAGAGCAATCATTCTGCATGCATGTTCAATATGAATAGAACATACGAAGAATCTCTCTCCCAGTCAGAATTTATAGCACAGAAAACATTTATTGATGAGCTAGGCAAAAATTGAGATTTTTTTCCATATTTCTGCAATGTTTCAAAGGGAATGCTAAACAGAGCATGGTTTTCCCTGTGATAATAACAATAAGCCATTCCATGTGAATGACTTAAAGTCTCTAGGGGACTTTAGATTTCACGCTCCATTTTGTAATCTGTGATATATGATTAGGTACTGAGTGGAGGATAACAACAAACTTTCAATGGATTAAAAATTAAATTTGAGTGAGAGAGAAAGTGGGCAAGCTCAAGAGAGCACAAAGTGTTAATCAGCCACATAAGTCATTAAATTGTTGCTTTTTCCAGCTCACAGTGATAGAAATCTGAGTTGCTAACATCTCTACAGTTTTATGCCCATTATATAATTTTATATAAAGTAAATATACTTTACTATACTTTTCTAAGTATAGTAAAGAGCCAAAGTGGCACAGTGGTTAAATGCAGCACTGCAGGCTACTGCTAGATCAGCAGTTCAGCGGTTCAAATCTCACTGGCTCAGGGTTGACTCAGCCTTCCATCCTTCCGAGGTGGGTAAAATGAGGACCCAGATTGTTGGGGGCAATATGCTGACTCTCTGTAAACCGCTTAGAGAGGCCTGAAAGGCCTATGAAGCGGTATATAAGTCTACTGCTATATTCTATCATAGGAATACTTTGCTAAGAGTCCATGGTATAGATGAGGTGGGAATATCTACTGTTCCTACCTCAGCTGCAGTCTGGATCAAATCCCGTCCTTCAGAATCTACTGCTAGTTTCACAGAGGAAAAAACATCAACCGATACCTCTGGAATTGCATCTGGAAATTTTGCCTTGAGGTTGAAAAAAGGAGAGAGCCTCTTTCTACCTACCCTAATCCAAACTGATTTTTGTATATTCAAATTACACTTAAAAAAATAATATCCAAAACAGATTTTTGGTGTAATGATTGGCCCATACTATAAGGTATCTCAATCCAAAACCAATCTGGATCCATCTCCCATGGAGTTCCTGGGAATTAAATCTGTGCAGGCCAAATCCCAAATGTAATGCAGGTTTGCTTTAATTAGTGAATCTTTTACACTGAATCCACTTCTCTGCGGTAGAAAGTCTTTCAAGCTCTGGGACTCAAAGATTTCAAGAGAGGTTCTCGGAATCATTTGACTTTAAGGAAGTGTTTCTCAACCTTGGCAACTTTAAGATATGGGAACTTCACCCCCCAGAATTCCCCAGCCTGGGGAAAATGAACCAAAGGAAGTTTTGTCTGTGGACCTTCATACCTACCTTGTGTGCTTGGTCTAAAGTCTGTTTCCTGTAATCCAATTCATCATCCAGATACCCCTTTTGTTTACTAAATAGGTCCTAAAAACAAGGAGATTTGGGTTATACTGATTTTTCTCAGGAAGCACAATATGGAATCACTGATTTTAACTGTTTAGTGAATCTGTACCTTTTCATTTTCTAAGTCTATCATCTTTTGTTGGAGTGCTGATTCTGTAACTTCTATCTGTTGTAGCCACTGCAGAGAAATGAAGAAAAATCAGATTTGGGTTTGTTGACCTGGCAACTTTACGCAGTTCAATAAAGGAGAATATTTGTAGCTCGGGGTTGAAATGAGGGGTCCTTGGTGTTTTCTGAGCCTGTTTTCCTTTAGACATTTCATTACCCAAACTAGGTAATCAGTGCTAGAATCAGTGCTGGAAAATGCTAGAAAGGGCTTGAATCAGTGCACTAGTCAGTGCTAGAATGGTGTGGGATAATGAAGCACCTGCAAGAAAAGGCTCAGAGAAGTCATGTATGAACTTTAACTCCCAGAATTCTGGCAGATGAAGTTCACACAGCTTACGGTTTCCAAGGTTGACAAACATTGAGCATATCAGACAAGAGACCAGCGCATAACTCTTAAGTATTGGGTTTATAGCAAAGCACCTCAGTATGCTCAATATCTCTAAGTTTGGCAATTCAGTTACAATAATCCTATTTCAGCATTGTGATTTAGCAAAGATAATCTTTGGGCTCAATGCTTTATATGAAGGAGCGGAACATAATGCCTGCATTGTCAAATAATAAATATAAGCCTAAGTTATAGTACGATGTACCCAAATCTAAGGCACTTCCATTTTATAAAAGTAAAGAAAAATATTTAGGTGAAAAACTGGTCACTGATCAGCAAACAAATATTCTTTAAAGCTATTGGTAAGAGAGAATAAAAAATTAGGGATAGGCTTAGCAGCTTGAATTGTTTTAAAGATACTAGCTATGAACATATCCCTCTGCTTCATTTTGTTGCTTATCCCATTCATATCAGTTTAATAGCTGTATATATTTATAAGGAATTTGGTTGGAAATGGTATTTAGTTACTCTATTAATCCACTTTGGTTATTCCACCCCAACATCCCAGCAACCAAACATCCAGACCAGAGGTATCAAACTCGCGTCATCACAGCAGCATCATGTGACATACTTTGACTCCTCCCCCCTTTGGTGAACTGGGCGTGGGTGTGGCTGGTGTATGAGGCATCTGGGCCCTTGGCCTGCAAGATTGACAGCCCTGATTTTTTTTCTGTTTGATGCAGAGTTGAGAGCCATCCTACTAGTTATACTGGTGACCAGTTATACTGGGGACACGGCAAGATCATTTCCAGGCAATGATAAAAGTAATTTGTAGAACCAAGTTTTAGATATGTTTTTGGCAAGATTAAGGTTAAAGTTAAGAAAAAGAAAGAACATCCCCATTACCTTTTCTGCCAGTGTCAAAACTGTCCTTGCTTGTATGACTATAACTTGCTCGTCATTCGTTAAGTTCTAAATCAAGAGCAGAATAAATGTATTATCACAACATACATCTCTGCACCGTTTCCCCATTTCCGAGGTAAATATTCTTGCCCTGAATATTTAAACATTTCTTAAAACTACAAATAAAAAGTAGTACTTGATTACACTTTCTTGATTATAACTTCTTGATTATATTACTTGATTATAATTTCAAGATAATATTCCATGACCAGGAGGTATTGAAAAGAGCTGATCTCTACAATCCACTCCCAATAAATACAGGTAGTCCTCAACTTAAAAACAGTTAGTTTAGTGACTATTCAAAGTTACAAGAGCACTGGAAAAAGTGACATGACTATTTTTCACATTTACAACCTTTGCAGCATCCCCACGGTCACATGATTTACATTCAGATGCTCGACAACTGATTCATACTTATGACGGTTGCAGCATCCAGGCCAGGGGTCATGTCATCAGCTTTTGCAACTTTCTGTCAAGCAGAATTAATGGAGAAGCCAGATTCACTTAACAACCATGTTACTAACTTAACAACAGTGAGTCACTTAATAAATGTGGCAAGAAAGATTGTAAAATGGAGCAAAACTCACTTAACAAATTTCTCATTTAGCCATATAATTTTTTTAAACTCAATTGTGGTTGTGAGTCCCTCCATGCAAATATTGATTTACTCCATTACTGAAGTATCAATTATTAATTCTCAATAAATATTAAAAGAAACATGAGGTAAATAAATGACATTCTAATACTTCCAGATATTAGAATTGAGAAATCTGGACCAGCAACAGTGAATCGCTTCTCTGACTTCGTGAAACAATACATGGTACAAGTCCAGGTTGCCCCCGGAAGTGATTTGGAGCTATCCTGAAAAAGAGCCTTTTCATTTGTTTATAAGAAGCCCATCTGCACTTTATCTCCTCCCCTCCCCACAAAAAATCTGGAGTCCCCCAATCCCCTTTCCAAAAAGAATGGCCTGCTGGTTGCATTGAACATCCACCCACAAAAGTCTCAGTATTTGCAAGTTAATCAGTGGGAAGAAATGAGAAACCTTATTTACGAGCCCTTCCGCTTCCCTTTCATCAGTGTAAATCTAAAAACTGCTGATGCCTGGATCAATCTCGGCAAAACGGAAAAACTGCCCTTTGGAATAGTCTCCCCTCACTCCCAACATTTAAAAACCTAAAAAATATGATTATTCCCCCCAGGTTTGGGGCCGGGATTCATAAATTCACAACAAGAGAGGGAGTGAATGTCTGTCAATTTGCCTATTTCTGACTTTTATGGCTGATTTTTTCTTTTTGTCTTGATTAGTTTCCTGTAAGCTGCCACCTTGGGCAGCCCTATAAATTATTTAAATACATTTTTAAAGCATCTGGAAAGGGTTTATGATTACGGCTCAGACAAACATAACTTCTCTTAAATGAAGGAAAAGGCTACCCTGCTTTTCTCTGCTTCCAATTAGATGTTGCCCTGACCTATTGTGAAAACTAAATGGTGCTAAATAAACTAAATTTTCTAAAAATAAAATAATAAAATAATAATAAATAAAATAAAATAAAAATGTTGAGGGGGCTCTAGAAAAGGCTTTGGGGTCCAGATGAAGCCCATTGGATTGCAGAGACCACCCCAACATAAACAAAAATTAATTTATTCCAATCATGCTTGTCTCAAGCTGTGGTATGTTCTAATACACACACACACACAAACATACTCTTAAAGGCTTTTAAAAATAGCAAAGAATAGTAAAACACTAGCAAAACACTAGTAAAGGATATCCAATCCCCAGGTTACAATATTAAGTTAACTTGTGAAATACTTTAGACCAGGCATAAGTAACTTTATTGTGCCTGGAAATTACTTTCCATGTTGTAACTTGCCTGAAAGATACAACACACACCCAGTGGCCTCATGGTCATTATTGTGACACACACACACACTCACTCCCAAAATTATCTCTCTCCACTTTGAGTGTTTCTGACAGATTATTGGGAGAGGCGATAGTGGCCTTCAGAGTATTTGTTGCCAACTTCTGCCCCATTCTATAAAATAATAGATTGGGCCAGTATAATGGTGGTTGGTATAATGGTATCACACAAGTGGATGATATAAGGGTTAATGCTTATATAATGCTTTGTTTTCAGTCCTTAGCTACTTCAACCAGAGAAAAATATTTAATCCTCCCCTAAACTCAAATCTAAACATTTTTCTTCTGTCCAGTTCAGGGGGTCTCTGGGGATGGGGAACATGTGAGCTGGGTCTATCCAACCCTGACTCATATTATTGGCATTCTGTATAAACTAGGTGTGAGAAGCATTGGTCCGAAACAAGGACTTCTCCACGGGAAAATGTTGCTTAATCATAACAAATAAAAGCAATTACAGGGGCATTTAATGCAGCTTGAACAAAAGAACGAAACACGTTCACTGAAACATGCACAATTAATTAAAGGAACATACACTTACGGCGTTATCCCCTAAAATATCCAGTTTTTTCATCAACTCTGCTACTAGTATATCCTAACAGGAGAAAAAGAGACAAGGAGCAGCGTGTGAAAAGAACAGGATATTACACCAAGAGAGAAACAAAAATTAAAAATTGCAACAAGAGCATCTGGGAGCTACTTACTGTTACTCCTTCTGCCTCGCAGTAGACTTGGAGGGGGCTCTTCCCTTCCGTAAAAGGAATGTGATGAAAATTAATTGCTGGTGATCTTCTTTCTCTCTCCTACAATCAAATTATTTGTGGGGCCCACAATACAATTTCATTAGTTAATTTTCCAATGTAAGTTACAAAAAAAGAATCAAATATATAAGTCGATAAATTAGAAGCTGTTTTAAAGGATTAGCTTTGGACTCTTTGAGTTGCAGAAATTCATTTGCTCCACTGCTCCTCCTGAAGAAATGCCCAAAAAGAGTTTCTGGGGGGGATTTTCCTCTTACGATTCTTGGAGTCTTTCTTCTCCACCAGAAGGGAAGACGGCGTTTTGCCTCCAGCTCTAGAAGACTCTGCTGCATCCCTTCCTTGTGCTTTGGTTTCTGGATGCTGCTTTTCTTTCTCTTTTCTCATCACAGAAAGCAAACTTGTTGAGGAGTGAATAAAGAAGAGGGGAGGGCAGCGCAAGCAGCTATTTTTAGCCCCCCCCTCCCGCCCCTCTGGCCAGAGGGAAATTGTCAGAACATTAAAGTGCTCTCACGAAGCATCACAAAAATGTGCTTGACAATTAGTGGCTGTCTGGAAAAGACTAAAATTTTCCTCCAAATAAATAATACCATATTTATCTTTCTCATGTGCTGGGAATACGAAGTCTCAGAGGTTTAATAAAGGAGAATATTTTTAGCTCAGGGTTGGCATGAAGGGTCCTGTTCCTGGGCTGTTTTCTTGCAGATGTTTCATTACCCAAAATAGGTAACGTCACACCAGTGAACACCCTTTAAGCTTAGATTTCCCCCACTTTCACTGTAGAAGCTCAACATGCTGGATTGTGGACCTTGGGATGAAACCTTAAGAAAGACCCATGAAGACAAACCAGGCGACATGGTGAACTCCTCATGAACCACATCAGGTGGCATCAGTTCTGATTCTGGGACAATCTTCAGTCTTACCAAAGAGAAGGTAAGATTTACAGAAGATAGAAACCTGTCATTTATTTGGCAGATGGGTACAAATTCCTGTCAGCTGGTACAGGTAGCCCTCAACCTACAGCCACAATTGAGCTGAAAATTTCTGTTGCTAAACCAGTGTTTCTCAACCTTGGCGACTTTAAGTCCTGTGGACTTCAACTCCCAGAATCCCCCAGCCAGCACAGCTGGCTGGGGAATTCTGGGAGTTGAAGTCCACAGGACTTAAAGTCGCCAAGGTTGAGAAACACTGTCAGCTAAACAGAACATTAGTTAAGTGAGTATGCCACCATCTTGCCACCGTTGTTAAGGGAATCACTGCAATTGTTAATAATTTTGACATGATCAAAATTCACCTGCTTGGCAACGGGTTCATATTTTTGATAGTTGCCATGTCCTGGGATCATGTGATCACCTTTTGTGACCTTCTGAGAAGCAAAGTCAAAGGGGAAGTTGTAAAATGGGGCAAAACTCAGTTAACAAATGTCTCACTTAGCAACACAAGTTTTGGGCTCAATTCCAGTCATAGGTCGAGGACTACCTGCATTTATTTACATTCAAAGTTGTTTAGACATATCATATAGAACAGGGCTGTCAAACTCCCAGCCCGTTAAACCAGATGTGGGTTTAGCGAAGAGGAAAAAAGTCCCAATATGTCATGTGACGACACCGTGATTATTTCAGTTTGACATCCTGGATGTAGAAGGTTTACACATTTACTGGTTGTTCTGTTAAAAAGCAAAATTAGTCTAATCTAAAGCAAAGCTAGAGGAGGATGGGAGCTGTAGTCTGAACAGCCTGGTTGAGGAATAGATATATAAGCTATAATTTAATAAAACTCATGCAAGCTAAAGTTAATGAAATCAGGCTTTATGCTCATCATCTCAATAGTATTCGCTTCCACCTAACACAGTTTGTCCCTCTGCTATGGGATTGCAGGGACAAATAGCTGTTCAAACATGCCAATGCTAGCAAACCCAATTTGTTTTATCTAAAATTATGAGCCAACAGAAGGAAGACGGGAGGACCCTGAAGGGTGATACAAACTGCACTTGGCAAATCAGAATACGCTGAAGACCAATATATGAATTTTCCCAATATATGGAACCAGGTAATTAATGCAATTGTGCCTTATGTTGAAGCTATTCTGGCAGAGGCATTATACTGTAATAATGTTCCACGAGCTGTAGTGAATTTGGAACACCTGACAAAACATGGAAATATGAAAACATCTACTTCTTACTTACCTCAAGTTCTAATATTCTAAATTCCAACAATTCATTTTGATCTTTAGCATCCTGAACATCATGCTTTAGCCGAGCTTCTTCTATTTCCATTTGTTTTATCTAAAAAAAAGCAGAAGGATTTTCCCTTTTTAAATTTGTTTTTTGCCAACAACTTGTTTTAATTGCACAGTGAATATAGAACTGATTATGGAAAATAAGTGTGAGCTCTAATTTTGCTGTAACCATTAACTCAGGATTATGCTTTCTCAAACCACCACTGCTCAACCTCATACCTCTATATGGAGGTAATAATATTAAGAAATTTTAAAAACAAATTTCAGAGGTAAGATATGTGATCTGTGATAACTGGAAAGATAAATGTGTTGTCATTCTAAACAAAAATTGAAAGTCAAATTTTATAGTTTACGTCTGTCTTATATTAATTTTCAGAATTGAAATTAAAATAAAGATCTCTACAAGAAATACCATTTTTGTTTGGTGACAATTTTCCTGTAAGTTTGGATTCGAATAATGTTCCCTTTTGATGACAGAGGACGTTACCAAATACGTATGTTTCATTAAGAGCTCTTTTTTCCCTAAGATTTTTCTAAATTTCTATTCACACTTATTTTTAAATTCCCTATGAAAACAGAGCGTACCTTTTCCACAAGCTCTTGGTTTCTTTTGTATAAAGCCTGTTTTTCTTCAATCCACTTCATGTCCTTAAAAAAAAAACAGAAAGACCCAGTGTTATAAAAAAAGATAAGGAAACACCACAAATCTTTTAAAAAGGCAAAACATTGGAAGAGAGTCTATACGTGTATAAGAAACAAGGAGAACATAGCTGAAATTTGTTTCCCTGATTTGGCTTCAGTAGTTTTTAGATAAAAATACATTCTGACTTTCTAATAGCTGGATAATCTGTCTTTAGCTCAGTAAGTTATCTCCACATGAACAATTAGAATACTGAAATGAAATACTCCCTCTGGAGAGTTCTGTGTACAGTTTTGAGGTGTCCTCTTCAATGAATTACATTCTTTACAAGGGTGGGAGCCTTCAGAAGAATAGGAAGTACCACAATCCAGCAAAAATCATACTAGAAGCAGTTTTGGTGTCTACTCACTGACCTTCCCCTGCTACTCATCCGGATATGTTTGCCTTGCAGTTTCCATGACTGTCAATGTCTTTTGTTCTTGTACAAGCTTTTAAGAGAAATCTTTTAATTTAGGCATAAGATGCACACAGTGTATTCATGTCCTGTATTTTATGTGTCTCGGGTTTCTTTGCTAGTTTGGGGAAGAGTTATTTCTCCTTGAAATGGGAATTAATTGGCTTGATCTCACAAGATGGGAATCTTTAGCTCAGTAAGCTATCTCCACATAAACAATCATTGGAATAATGGGCATTATAGATGAATAGCACAATTCATTCAGAGAAAGAGAAAAATAATCATTAACATATGAAGGAGAAAATGGTTTGGTGAATCTGATACACTAGTTCTTAATATTGTAGCCTATTTAGAGCTAGAAAAAAAAAATCTAAAGTTAGAAAACTATTTTAATTTAAAGAGAGGAAAAATATGGATTATCAGACACTAAAGAAAAGTTGAACTAAGTGAAACAATACAAGAGAATAATTGTAGCTTATGGTTAAACTATGGCTTCCATTGTGCTCTCTGAACTTGACTGTTTTCTTGAAGTCGTTTCAATACCAAACTAGGTAACATCATCAGTGCTAGAAGGGAGTGGATGTTACTGCCCAGTCAGTATTGGTGGGAATTGTCTTGGTGATTCCTTGATTAGGCTCTTGTTTACTGTTAGCTTATTTGTCTGAGTTGGAAGTTCCTTGATTGGCATACTGTTTACTTCTTGACTGTAGGTCTGGTGTTAATCCCTGCTCATCTGGGTGTTGAATAGATACATAAACATAAACAATATGTACACAGTATGCAAACGAGACAATAAACAAGCCAAGAAGGGAACAAAAAGACCACAACTCCTCCCTGCCAGCAATCAGCACCCAGGTGAGCATAGATTAACTCCAAGATTAACACCAGGCCGACAATCTGATGTCAAGGAATGGCCAAACCAACCATCCGTAAGCAGTAAAGCCACAGATCCTCTGAGACCATCCAGGACAAGCCAGTAGAATACGTAGAAACTGAGACCATCTCCCACACCTAACTAGCACTGATGTTTATCTGCTTTGGGTAATGAAACATCTACAAGAAAACAACCAAGCTCAGAGATAGCCCCAATAATCTTTCAATAATATATACATCTGTTCTGTCCCCCCTTCTCCGCTCGTTAAACAGACGACAGGCAAACAACTTAAAAGGAACTCTCTTTATCAGTTCTCAGCTCATGAGAAAGATAAATATGGTATTATTTAAAGAT